TGGGATTACAGGCATGAGCCACCATGCCTGGTCTCATTGTGTACTTATAGTTATTGCATCTCAGGTTTTAATAGTTCCTTATTTGGAAAGTTAAAAATTGTGAATTTATACTTGCAGTCGTCTTTAAGGAAGCATTTTCTAGAATAAACAATGTATAAATTAGCCTAAACTTTTTTTGTTTGTTTGTTTGTTTGTTAAATTTACTTTCCCTAGTCCCCCCCCCCTTTTTTTTTAAGAGACGGGGTCTGGCTATGTTGCCCAGGCTGGAGTGCAGTGGCTATTCACAGGCACGATCCCACTACTGATCAGCACGGGAGTTTTGACCTGCTCCGGTTCCGACCTGGGCCAGTTCACCCCTCCTTAGGCAAACTGGTGGTCCCCTGCTCCCGGAGGCTCACCATATTGATGCCAAACTTAGTGCGGACACACGATCGGCATAGCGCACTACAGCCCAGAATTCCTGGGCTCAAGCGATCCTCCCACCTCAGCCTCCCGAGTAGCTGGGACTATAGGCACGTGCCACCGCACCTGGCCTCAGTCCCTTTTGGAAGGAGACAGGGTTTAAGTAATTCATTAAAATTTTAAAACTCAAGGCCCAGCAAAGTGGCTCACACCTGTAATCCCAGCACTTTGGGAGGCCAAGGCAGGAGGATCACTTGAGGCTAGAGTTCAAGACCAGCCTGGGAAACACAGCAAGACCCCATCTCTATTAAAAAGGAAACAAACAAAAAAAAAGAACTTTTTGTTTGCTCAAGTTCATTATAGAAGCATTCACTGGCTGGATTATGTGGCTCACACCTGTAATCCCAGCACTTTGGAAGGACAAAGCGGGCAGATCACTTGAGGTCAGGAGTTTGAGAACAGCCTGGCCAACATGGTGAAACCCTAAAACCCTCTACTAAAAATACAAAACTTAGCTAGGCATGGTGGCGGGTGCCTGTAATCCCAGCTACTTGATTGACTAAGGCAGGAGAATCACTTCAACCCAGGAGGCAGAGGTTGCAGTGAGCTGAGATCTGGCCACTGTACTCCAGCCTGGGCAACAGAGTGAGACTCTTGTCTCCAAAAAAAAAAAAAGATACTGTAAAAATGCCCTTGACTAAGAGGAAGAAGGCCCTGAGTTTTGGTTTTTAGTTTTGTCACATATTGACTGAGTGACTAGCAGTCTCAGTTTCCTTGTTTTTAAAGTAGAGATAACACCCATGTCACAAGCTTTACTGAATATGGTAATATGTGTGAAATTTCTCTGAAGAGTGTAAAATTCTATATAAACATACATTAACTTTTTTCAGAGCTTGGGGACATTAAGACTGAATTTTATATATAATTTATTAAAAATAACATTGCTAGTATCCACATAATGCTCATCTATTCAAAAAATTTTTTTAAAAATACAATAATTCTAAGTATTTTATACCACAGATTAGCAACAAGGAGCAGATTTGCTGAATACCTGTTTTGTAAATTAAGCTTTATTGCAATGCAGCCACGCCCATTTATTTATTGTCTGTGGTTGATTTAGTACGATAACATTAGATTTGAAGAGTTTTGACAGTGACCTTCATGGCCAGCTAAGCCTAAAATACTTACTGTTTGGCCTTTTACAGAAAAAGTTTGCCAAAAGTTTCCCTGGTATCAAGTAGGCTTAAGTCACTAAGTCTACATTTGAATGTAATTCTCCCAACTCTTACACCTGTGTTATTTCCCTTGCTTTCTTATTTTTCTTTTTTTTTTTTTTTTTTTTTTTTTTTTTTTTTTTTTTTTTTTTTTTTTTTTTTTTT